ATTATTAAAACAAATGCTACCTGTTCCTTCGGATTTTTTGTATTTTTAAAATATGACTAACAGAAATGTTAAAAGTGCCTATGCAGCTGACATTTGTGGTTTGCACTATTTTTTTTTTTTCTTTTTGTGGGACCCTCGCTGGTGGCCAAGGATCAAACTGGCGCTCACAGAGGCTGCAGGCAGCCTCCCAACCCAGCGCTCAACCGCTGTGCCACCAGGGGAGGCCTGGTTTGCTCTATGTTTTTATGGGATTGTACTTCCCTAGATGCTAAAGGAATGTAATAGTCAAACTATACTTGAGTTCCATCTGTATATATATTTTTCTCAGTTGTAATAGTTCATTTCTCATTAGTTTATAGTGTATAATGTGGGTTCAATACTTCTCAATGTATATTTTTGTTTTCTTCACACCTCTTTACTATTAAATAGTCTTCCTTTCCTGAGAACACTTTTCCCACTCTGCCTACTTGGCAAATTCTTGTTACCCTTTAATAGCCAGCAGAAGCATTTTCTCACACTCATACACAAAGTAGAAATAAACACTCTGTCCTCTGAGCTATAATAGTATCTTGTCCAATATCCACTGATGTCTGCTGTTGCTCAGCCCAGGGATAGGTGGTAGTAATATCCAAGTGTGAAGGAAGGAGATATGGGATATGGACCCCATGTTTGCAGTACTTGCATTTAGAGGTGGATATAGACAAGTAAACACTCAGTCATAAATGGAGGGGGGGATATCTGTAACAGGAGAGATCCAGAAAGTACATCAGGCATAATTTTCCTTACTATATCTTTGTGCTGAATAAATATTTTGAAGCTGAGCTATAAGTATCTTATTCCCTAGGAACCCTGGGTTTATAAAAATAGTTTTGTGTTTAGGTACATAAACTGACAGGCATCTTCTCCACATCACAATTGGTGAAAACAAAAGTTGTCTTCAAAATACAAATTATCAAATAGGCAGTCTTATATTACATGTATTTCTAGTATCCTTGCAATGACTCTTTTAGCAGGAAATTTAAGTATTGGTTTTTTAAAAACAAAGAACAACAACAGAAAAGCCCTGAGACAATTATCATGATTAAGTAAAAATGAACTCCACAAAAGGTGTGCAATTTACTTAACACTAATATACTATCAAAAAGAATTCAGGATTTTAATGACTGGATTTCTGTGCGATTGAATAGAGGTCAGCAACTTTGTGAATTCATCTTAGCATATGGCAGTGGAGATTTTAATACTCTTTTTTTAAAAAGATTTATTTATTTATTTATACAAGCACTGGGTATAGTCAGAAGTGTGGAGGGTGAGAGAATTCACCAGAGCCAGAGCAGGGAGCAGAGCAGGCAGAAGGACCGAAGTACACTGCTGAGGGGAGCAGTGGGCGGCAGGAGAGGTCTGCGCTCCATGTGGGATCCTCCTCTGGTGGCCTGGGAGCAGTCGGGGATCAAACCAGTGATGCATAGGCTGCGGGCAGCTTCGCAACCCAGCACTCAACCCCTGCGCCACCGGGGAGGCCCAATTTTTATACTATTATTGAAGAGTGGGACCAATATTTGGCTAGTTAGATTGTGTAACTTCACTTAGTAGGAGGTTATTTATCTGCAAATCTCAGTGATCCCAAACCCAGTTAAGATACACACACACACACACACACACACACTATTCAAACCAATATTTGAGCAGCCTAAATATCTGTCTCAAAGTCTATGTTCTAAGGTTCCTGTGCCTTATTCTTTGGTGAGCACATCAATCCCTTACAAGGGGCCAATTTAGTTTTACTCTAGAAATTGTGAATTGTGACAAGTGAGGTTATTTGGATTCCCAGTCTATACCAGAGTAAGACCTGGCAATCAGTGGAGGAGGAGAATATTAGAAGCAGGCACACCAGCCACAGAAAGGACAATGAATTATATTGTCAGCAGAGGGGACAGAAAAACTACAAAAGGCAGAGATAATCACTAAGTCATAGTATCCTGGAATCCTTCAGAGTAGCAATTGATAGTTTATATACCTCTTGGGAGCATCCCTAACACTTAGAAAGAAGCCTAATGCTGAATAGTAACTCAGTGTGTTTGTTTAATCCACTACTACCTGCTATTCTAATTGCTTTCCATAAAATTATGAGTTTTCAAGAAAAAGCCAAATGAAGCCCAAGAAGCTGCTTAAGAAAACAGAAACATGTATAACGCATTTTAGAAAAATCTTTGTAGAACTATTTATTGAGAAAGTTTGATTCCTTAAAGGGTCAAGCTCAAATCATTCTGATCATCACTTAATTGGAACAGCTTGTTTTATATCAATCCCAGACAAAGATGCAGGATAGAACAGCAGACTTTACTAAGTTGCCTTGAGCAATTGCAAACGGTGGTATATGCAAATAAAAAGCTATCATGAGATTTAAACTATAGGAGATGACAACAGATTGCATAGTTGAATCACCAGGGTGATGTAAATTAATTGTTCTAAAATATACCATCGCAATTACGCAAAAGATTCCCACTGTGTGCCCAACACTGTGCTAGGTGCTGGACATACTGGGCATTAATTTGAAAATCTGCTCTCACTTTTAAATGTGTCGGTATTCCAAAATTCTCATTCATCTTTTTAAAGGCTAAGTGAAATTCTAAATGCACAATACAGTTATTACATAACAGATATACATACTGTTTTATGATAGGGAAAGCTTTTGAAATTGCACTAGCAAGTCTATATTAAAATGCTATGGAATCCTCAGCATGAATAGGATATGAAAACTCACATAGAAGAATATACATAGAATAGACTATGAAAACCTACACATAAGAATGGAGTGCCCCATTCACTCACTTGTTTTATGCAGTAAGTGTTTTAACACAGGCATGTCATTTCTGAGTTTAGGGTGAGGTTAAGCTCTACTTTAGTATTTTTGTATCAAGCAAAAACAATTTCAGCAACGGCTCTCATTTCCCCTGGTAATTTTTTTCATGGTGAGTTACTAAATGCTAGATGCTAGAGTCAAAAAGAAACCTGACATCTGGGGAGGTGTTGTGGGGGTGTTAATAGTTCCAGTGAGCTGTTTGGAGAGCTCTGAGGATACGATTTTAAAACAGCAAATACACGGAGAAGGGGGGAAATTATGGTTTCCTAGGACTCTCTCCTCCCTCCACTTTCTTCACCAATCCATATCCCCCCCAGTTTAGAGGCGGGTTCAGCGAGATCAGGCTGCAGGAAACCAAGAGGCTCCACGGTGCGGCCGCCCGGGCCTCGTGATGTAATTGTTATTTCTTATTCGGGGACTGAGCCCAGGAGAGCTGCCGAAGAAGTGGCAACCCTGCTCCTTTTGCCTGATCGGATGGGGTCAAACGCTTCCCGGGGATGATGTCGATTCGCGGACAGACTCCGCCGGGGACTTCGCAGTGACCAGGCAGCTGGAGACACACGCTGCTCGAGTCCTCCGTGCGTCGAAGGAGCCGACCAGGGCGCTCCTCAGGTCTCCTTCCCAGTTCTGCTCTCGGAGTCAGTCCACATCCATTCCTGGGCGCCTGCGGGGTGCTGGGCGTAGGAGCAAAGTGGCCTGGAGTTAGTGCCCGTGCCCCCCAAGACTAAAGCAGGACACCCCGCTTGCCAGGTGGTGCAAGTTGGGGGCAGGTGAGAGGGCGCCCGGGGGCGCGTGTGGCGGGGTGGAAGCGCAGGAGGGAGACGCCTCAGGCGCCAGCACCCGGGGGGCCCGGGGGGCGCCTCGGCGGTGCCCCCCACGCGAGCCCTTTGGCCTGTGTCCCCAGCCCCGTCGCCCGGGCTCCGGCGAGGAGCTGTCCAGGCGCCCGGGGCGGCCGGGGGCGGCTGGACAGAGCCGGGAGCCGAGGGGGCCGGCGCGGGAGCGCGGGGCGCCAGGCTCTCCCGCGGACGCGGCGCTCCGGCCGGGCCGGCGGGGTCGGGGGCGAACCCCCAAACGGAGGGCGCCCCCGGCTCCCGCGGGCTGCCGGGACCCGAGCGGCTTCCTGCGGCCGCGGTGACAATGGGCGGGAGGGGAAAAAAGGGTTAAGAAACTTGGCTGAAGAGCTGAATGGCGTGGAGCGGCGAGGGGAGGGACTGGGCCGCGGCGGACTCGGCGGCGGAGGGAGGAGCGCGGCCGCGGGCGGGCGGGCGGCGAGCGAGGCGCTCAAAGTCAGCCGCGCAGACATTGCAGCAGAGCCCCGAACTCGGGAGGCGGCGGCGGCCGAGGCGCAGGCAGGAGGCGGCGGCCGAGGCGGAGGGACGACCCGGCCTCACGCCCGCGCGCGCCCGCGGGGGCCTCGCGTCCGCCGCCGGCCTCAGGGACGGGCCGGCCGCGGCGCCGCGGGCTGACGGGGCGGCGGGGCGCCCGCGCGCAGCGAGCCTGCCGGAGCCGGGCCGGGGCCGCGGGGCCGCGGGTGAGTGGGGGCCGCGGCGGGGGCGCTGAGGCGCGGCCGGAAGCGGCCGGGAGCGCGGCCCGCGGCGGCGCGGGCGCGGGCGGGCAGGGCCGCGGGGGCGTCGGGGCGGCGGGGACCGCGCGGCCGGCGGCGGGGGCGCTCGGCGCGGCCGGAGATCGCCGCCCGGGAAAGCCCGCCGCGCCGGCCGCCGCCGAGTCGCCCCGGGAACTCTGGGGGGCCGGGCGGCCGCGCCGGCAAGTTGTGGAGTTGGCCCCGGGCTCGCCCGCCCGTCCGCGCCGGGCTGGGGCCGAGGGGCGGCCGCCGAGCGTCGCCCGGGCCGGGCCGGGCTCGCGCGCCCCGCTCGGCCGCCGCCTCGGCCCCGCGTCCCGGGCGCCGCTCGCCGCGCCGCTCGGGCTCCTGCTGCCCCGGGCGTCCGGGGCGGCGCCGGGCTCTGCTCCGTGCCATCCGCGCGGAGCTCGTCGGATTCCGGGCCAGGGAAAGTGACTGGGAAAAGGGACGGCGCCCCGGGCTCCCCCCGGACCCGGCCCGTCCCCAGTTGCCCGTCCCCTCCCGGGGGCGCCGCTCCTGGGACCCGAGGCCTCAGCCGTCCCTTCACCCCAGGGCCAGAATCGGGGCTCCCGCTGAGGGGGAGCCCCTGGGAGGTCCCGGGAGGCTTTGGGGGACTTCTCTCGCCTACATCTGTGACCTCCTGTCTGGTGACTTTTGTGGTCTTAGCAAGGGTTTCCCTGGAAATAGTCTCCCCACCCTCCCATCTTTCCCAAGTAGTGTCCAAATTTTATCAGGAGTTGGTGTTCAGGCTGTAGGAACAAAGGAACCAACTGTGTCTTGGAGAAGCGAGGAGGCTGGGAGTGTGTGACACATGTTGATCTCCCAAGCATTACACGAGTTTCTGCCTTCGATCGCGCTCGTCGCTTAATTGGGTCCTGAAGAGAGGAAAAGAAGAGCAGAATAAGTGGTTTAGCGTCTTAGAAATATTTTTCTTAACAGGACATTTCATTTGGGGGAAAAAAATGCGAACGTTCATAGCCACAGAGGACTTTTCCCTTAGTGCAACTAAGCTGGAGTTTGGCTCTAGGAATGTAAATGATTAAATGTGAGGCTTTGCAGAAAAACTGTTTTCAGAGAAAGAGAAACTCTATAGGGATCCAAAGTAAAAATGGTTGTGGGGTTGTATCTTATGAATGCTCTTTATATTAGGGGGCCAGGGGGTGGCTTGTGAGGTAAAGGGCCCTGGTAATTCATTCTTTAAAGTTATGAATTGCATTGAACCTGCTTATTAGTGAATCATAGGTGTAGCAAGTGGGTGGCATCTTCCTGATGTGATTATTCAATGTTTAATCACCAGTTTGCCACTTTTGTTGGAGAGACACTGAAATAAGTGGACTTTTTAAGCAAATGGTACTTCATCTGCCTGGCACCTAAGTGTGGGTTACTGCCTGGAATATGTTGAAATGTTTATCATCTTCCAAGTGAGTTGCTCTGGTGTTGCCTTGTGCTTTGGTAATGCCAATTGGGTTTAACTGGATCAGAGAGTAGTGGCTTCATCACCAATAGTAACTTTTCTGTTTGGAATTAGTTCCTAGAGACAAAGAAGAATCCATCAATGAAACAGCTACTATGAGGAGGCTGTGGGGTTGCTAGTCTACTTCATACACCCTGGTGGGGAAAGTCTTCTTTACATCCTTACTCTGGAAGTCCCTTAGGAGGGTGTGCAAAATATATATTTAAAGAAAAGGACTGCTCATTGTTGATTTTTCCACAGAAGAGTTCTCTGTGGTGCCGTTGAAGTAGTTGAGAACCATATTTAATGTCTATGGTAAGAATTGACTCAAATCTTCTTCTTGCATGCATCTCCAGACTCTGCAGCGCTTGAAGTTTATTTAATGATTTAAACAAAAAAACTACGTTCGCGGTAAAGAAGTGTCTGTAAAGAAGGCTAAAGGCTCTTGTGTCTCTTGCAGTTTTGAGAGCAAACATCATGATAAAAAATAACCTATACCACCACCTAGAGTCTGTTTGTTAGTTTATTGCTCCTGAAGTTTGCTTAAATTGACATGTCTCTTGTGATTCGGATATAGCCAAAAAATTATTAAGACGTGCTGGCTTTCAAAAGACCGTCCAAGAGAATAATTATTTGTGTAATAAATAGCAAGTGCCAATGTATATCTGTGAAATTGAAAATTATGACATATTGAGCGGGCCCTTCTCCAAAGATATTAATTCAAAAGAATTTAAAACAGGGAGTTTTCAGTTTGCACGCCAAGGTAGCTGATTCCTTAAAGATTTGCTGCATTGTCACCAGAGATTCAATAAATCTTAACAAATTAAAAGCTCTTAGGACTTTCTGAGTTCCAGATGAAACAAAAGCAATGATAAAAACATGAGTGTTGTTAGTCCAGAAATTCGGTAAACTCCTAAGAGAGAATGCAGACTGTGGTAGAGTGGTGGTTCAAAGACAGGAGTGAAATAGACATGAAATTGAGTAATCTCTCTGGCCAGTAATTTGCAGATAGTACAGCAATCTGTTAAATGGGAGACCTTAGGAAGGCAGATTGGTTGCTATGTGGCTTATCTTACATTGTCCATAGAAGTAAGGTTCCTTCTTTAAATGGTGTAACCTGAGAGAAAGATGGCCTCCAAGATCTTTAATTAAATACCAGTTGAACAGAGAGAACTAGAGCACTGTATTAATTCTGTCAAACATCACTATTTTAGAACATTGAGGACAACTAAAAATGAATTAACTCATATCTGAAAGCAGAGTTTTATGGGAGGTGACAGATGAGCCAAAATATGTCAATCTAATGGAACAAATAGGGAGAGAAGGAGATAAGTCATCCTTGACTCTCTAGAAAGATGAGAGGGAAGACGGTTATTAATTGTACAGATTCCATTGCAAACTAATACTAGAAGATGATGACACAGAAGTAATTCTAAATCATAGTGACTTAGGGTATATGACATTAACGGAATTAGGTATTTAATTTTAAAACCTTAGGACGGTCGGAAACTTAAAAGCTCATATTAAGTGGTTTTCTGGAAAAGCAGTAACAGTCTTATGTGTCAGGTTAAGAGAGAATTCTACCCAGATTCAGTTCAAATCATCATTTCTTTTCTTCCAAGAAAAAAAAATGTACAGATTCACTTTAAATTGTGATAGGTTTAGTTTTCCTTTTCAAGCTTTTGATTGCCTTATACAGTTAGATTTTCAAAGTCTAGGTTAACAGATAATAGTTTTTCTCTCTACACTACACTCCTGCTCCCGCACCCTCTCTGGCCTCTTCCCTTCCTTTCTCTGTCATCCCCTTTCTGAAATAAGTAGCTCCTGTATCTTTGGATGTTTTCCTCCGTGAAAATTGCCTTTATTTGTAGCCTTTCCCTTCTTGACTAGGTGGGCTGAAGGTTTTAGTTTTACTCTTGTGCTTTCCTATGTGCCCCTTGGTGTGATTGTTACATAATCAAGGTGGGTTTTGTTTGTTTTAATAATAATTTACTGCTACACATACGAAGCAGGACAAAAAAGCATTTGCTATTCTCACAGAGCCCTTTGTACCATGTCTTTCAACTGGAGAAATATTTTTATGAAAATCAACTTTTGATTACTATTGAAAAGTCAAGGAAATGTAGACTTGGGTGAGGGATATGTGAATTCAGTTCCTCAAGACGTACCTCCTTAAGTGACAGGTTTTTGAGGGTATCGTCTGAGGGGAGTGAGCAAACTTATTCTGTACTATTTAGATAACAATTAGAGAAACATAACACCAGGATGTCATCACAACCTGAGAAGGTAAAAATCAGGAGTGTCAAATGATGAAGAGGCCAATGGAATGGAATTTAGGATTATGTCCTGAGGTTGGAATGAACAAAAAGTAAACGGGGGAGAGAGATCTTGTTTTCTGTATCCTGTTTGCATCTGATGCTAAAGCAAGAACATGGATGGCTGATGGTAATGGATTCCCTTTTATGAGGGCAGCAATATTATATAAATAGTGGTTGTTGGGGGAGGGCAAGGGAAGCCCCCCATTTGTGCATGTACACACCTTGTGTTTGAATGTCTCTTTAATGGGAGTCAACATTGGGAATAGAACCAGGAAGTTACACTTTGGAAGGACATGAATTAATATTAAGACTATTCTTTATTCTTGTGAGATCTCATGCTTTCCAAGGGGCTCATTGAACATGGAAACAGCTGAGGTTTGGGTGTTGAACTGGAGAACTCTTTCATAGATTTCTTAGCAACTTGATGGGAATAGCTACAGAAAGAATGTTTTGTTTAAACCCCTTAATGTACACTTCGAGGGTAGGGGAATAGTGGGACTAAAGAGACCTCTGAAGTCTCATAGGTATTTATTTGCAACCTGTATTTTTGATGCCCATCTGTTATTTTTTGTTCTTTGAAATTTAGTGTTCAGTTTGATAGATGTTGAATATTTTGATTTCTCAGAGTTAGAGTTCATTTAGAACAGAACTTGCCTTTAGTTTTGCTACAGTTATTAAGGGTGGCTTCAATTTTTCATAAATACAAGTGCTGAGATAAATAGGACATAATGATTGTTGTCACTGTAATAGTATATACTCCATATTCTGAACCTTGAAATTCAAATTTATCTTTACACTATTCTGCAGATACTACAAATAATGCATTACAAAACCTGTGGTATTTTAGGTTATCAGTATACTTGAAACAATAAATTCATAAAATATTGAGAAGAAAAGAATCAGAAAAAATAAATGTGGTAACATTTTACCATTGTGTTAGGATTTTATTTAAATTAATACCTTGAATCATGCTAGAAGAACATTTAGCCTATTACTAAGAATAATATAATGAGAAGCAGCGAAGAATTTAGAAGACTGACAACTCAAAAATACAGAAAAAGTCATTCTTTGAAGTTACGGATAAAAAGAGCCACGATATTTACTTAGTAGTGTTAAGATCGTTTTTTAAAGGTGATACCAGATTTTAAAATAGATTGTTCTTGAAGGTGATGTTATGGATAATTATCTGTTGAAGAAGTTTTAATTCATCTGATTGGTTTTTTAGTTAAAAATCAAGAACTCCAGAATAGCTGAAACTTTGGCAGGGAAGGTGCTTGTGATATCATCCATCTATCCCCCGTGCTCCCTTCCGTCCCAATGTCTTCCTCCCTTCTTCTTCCATCTCTTTTCATTCTGTCTTTTCTTTTGTTTATCTAGGGCCAGGGTTAAAAAAAAAAAAAAAAAAGTTAAGAAACTTGGAAATAGAATTTTTTTTTTTTACAACAGGGTTAATAGTTGTATTTGAAATTCAAAGCTAACATGGTTCACTCTACTCAGAAAGTTTTTTTTAACTCTGTATACCTCGGGGAATAAAAGTTCTAAATTAAAACCCGTCTTGCCTCTTTAACTTTGTGTCACTTATCAAAAATATTTTTAAGGATGGACGGAAGAGACCCTTATTTGCCTTAAATTCCAGGTCACTGTGTGACTAAGCCTAGAGTTTCAAGAAATATTAAACTGGAAGCCTGCTGGGAATTTGAGTCATCAGCTTAAGATACCACTGGGACCAAGACACTGATTGACCTGATGTTGGTGTTTATTTGGAGCTTTGGTTGAAAGGAGTCGCTCACCCTGAGACTCCTCATTAAGAAAGTCATTTTTCAGTCACCTGTTAAATTATAGGACTACTCCTCATTTTCAAACCTATAATTTGCTAATGGGTTGAGGACATTTTAGGAACTAAGGAGTTTGGGAACTTGTGTTGTTAGTCTGCTTGATTATTTTTACATTCTTAACTGGCTTTGCAAGGGTGCGAAAAGTCAGGTGCTTAGTTTTAGGTATTTAAGAGAAAAGCTTAAGTCACACAGAGACTAAGCTAAGTTCTCCTTGCAGTTGTTTGCTTTTAATTGTTGAGTTTGCCTATACTGTCCATGACATGTGGACATGTTAGGTGAGTTACTGCATTTAAAAAGTCAGATGATAGTTTATCATTGCAAGAATAAAATAGGAAATTATGTTGATATAAAGTCCTAAAATGTGAACATTATAATTGTTGTGGTGATTTAATGACGTAATGCAAATAAGATAGCTTAATATATATATATACATGTGTGTATATATATATAGACACAATCAAAGTTTGTGAATTTGAAGTTCATGCTGAAAAGGGATTTCTCCTGAGGAATTTATCTAGAAATTGAAAGATAGGGAATGTTTAAGGTATTGTAACTGGTTTTTGAAAACCCCTCTTTTAAAGATGTATTTGATTTCTATTTATGAGTTTATAGAAATTTATAATGGAATGGTAGGCTTATGCACAGGAAAATAAACAAATTAAGGGAAACAAGACAGAAGAAGTTGATGAGCATCACGAAAAATTATTTGAAAACGTTGAAGCATTCCCAAATGGGATATGAGAAATAGCCTCAAAATGAATTAATCACAGTTGCAGTTTTTTCCCCTAAAGGGAGTATTTACACAATGGGTCATGTAGACACAGGTTTGGTTTTTGAAAAACTTATTTTAAAGTATCTCTGTTTTGTTATTCCCCACATACTTTTCTTGCTTAGGTTCTGCTACTAAATCAATGTAGGATACAGATAAAAAGAAAGTTCTTTTATCTCCCTGGCAGCATCTGTAGAAACTCTAAAACAAGGGGGCTAGATTTGATTTCTAAATTCTGAAATTCTGGCGCTATGCATCAGTAAGTGCCGTTGTTGACAAATTTAACAAGAAACCTAGTCTGAGAGATAGCTGAGTAACTTGCCTGAGGTTACACAGCTAATTTCATTGATCATAATTTGCTTTTCTATGAGAATATGCTATTTTTTAAGAGAA